TTATACCCAGAAATAATTACACGGAAACTGTATTCTTTCAAACACTGCCTGGCCCGGCTAGGTCCAGTTTCTTATTGGCTAGCTCTTACATATTGTTCTAACCCATTTCTAATATTCTGTGTAGCCCATGAGCTGGCTTACCAGAGAGGATCTTAACCTGTGTCTGTCTGGAGTGGGAGCATCATGGCGACTCACTCACTCAGCTTCTTTTTCCCAGCATTCTCCTCTGTCTACTCCACCTACCTAATTTTCTGTCCTATGAGGGCTGAGGCAGTTTCTTTATTATTAACCAATGAAATCAACAGATAAGATACAAGACCCACCTCCATCACACACATATATGTGTGTGTGTGTGCATATGGTGTTTTGTCCACGTGTGTCTGTTTACCATGTGCATGCCATGCCCTCAGAGGCCAGAAGAGGGCGATGGATCCTCTGGAACTGGAATACAGATGGTTGTGAAACTCTACATAGGTGCTGGAAACTGAACCAAGGCCCTCTGCAAGAGAAGTTAGTGTGTTCTTAATCTCTGAGCCACCTCTCCAGTCCCTTTTTTCTTTTCTTTTCTTTTCTTTTCCTTCCTTCCTTTCTTTTGTTCTTTCTTTTCTCTTTCTCTCTTTCTTTTTTTCTTTTTCTCTTCTTGGCTTCTTGGGGATAGAACCTAGGGACTCACAGAGGATGAGTGGGTGTACCACACACCCGCACCCCTCCTCTCTTCTTGCTTTTAGTTTAGATGAAGGGCCTTGTTAACTAACCCAAACAGGTTTTGACTTCTTTAAAATTTTTTAGTTTAAAAAGTTGTATGTGTGTTTATGGGGTACATAGCATATGTGTGCCTGTGTCTTCAGGGGCAGAGGAAGAGATGAGCGTCCTTTATCACTTTTTGTCATTCCCACAACACAGTACCGAGGAGCCTGAAGCCAAGCTGCCAGCCAGCACTTGTCAGGGACCCCACACAGCCCTGGGGTTGCAGGTGAATGGGACAATGATCAACTTTTTAAAAAAGTTGGATCCTAGCTTCTTTTATCTTTTATGTGAAAGGAAAGAAGAAAATAAATGTCTATAAAATTATTCTAGGCGATTCTCTAATGAAACGAGTACTGACTGCAATGGTTTAAGTAAAATGCTGCAGGTCCCTGAGCGGCGGCAGGCAGCAGGCAGCAGGCAGCAGGCAGCAGGCAGCGGGTCCCGAGACCACAGCAGGCTACAAAGGCAGCTGGGTCCCAGGCAGCGAGCCCCCAGGGCCCACGAAGGCCAGTGGGTCCTAGGCAGGAAGCTACATGGCAGGTGAGAGACGGAGACAGATGGGCACGCCATGCAGAGTGAAGTTGGAAATTTAGTGGGTTATGAAAGGGAAGGAGAGAAGAGGGAAGAGCAGAGAGAGAGAGAGAGGCAGAGAGAGAGAAACAGAATCAGAGAGGGGGAAGGGGAGAAGTGGGGAGAAAATAAAGACAGAAGCTGCGTCTTGGAGGGAGAGACAGAACAGGAAGGGACTCAGGCTGGAAGCTGAAGACCAGCTGGGGGAGTGGGCGTGGCTTGTCTCTTAAAGGGACAGAACAGACCATTACAGTCCCATCTCTTTTTTTATAATAAAAAGGCGGGAGGTTAGGTACCACAGGTAAAGGAATTGGGGCGGTGGATTCTCAAGACTGCTTCCAACTTGTTTGTGCGTGTCATCTTCGGGGAGAACCTGAGAAAGCTGGGTGCTGGTCACATCCTGGTGTAGCTGGTCTCTTTGTTCCTGTCCAGTGTTTGTGGTATGGAAATATCTGATGTCTCTTACAGCTGCTTAAGGTATTGGCAGAACAGAGAACAAAGTTAAGTTTAGGGGGAAAAAATTTAGGACTAGGGAATTGAGAAGGGTGTATCTGACCTGTATAAGGTGGATCCTTCAATTTGGCTCCCTGGAACTCACAAGAATTCTGTGGGTTTGTGAAAACAGAAGTTTTAGACAGCAGCAGAATGATTGCGACAGATGCCTTTGCTCAATGAAAAGTATTTTTAAGACTATGGAAGGCAGCGTGAGAGAGAAAATCATCATGTGTATTTGTCCTCACTCTTTTACAACTTGCAGGTACATGTCTTAATAACTTGTATTTTGCTGAAATTTGTTTGGTGAGGTTGTCCTTTTAAAACGACAAAACCTCTCAGCTGTCAAACTGCATCAGAGATCTTCGAGAAGGATAAAATTTTACTTGAGTTGTTGATTTAAAAGCGACAGGGAACTTACTTGGTTGGCACCTAGGCTACTCCTCAGGGTCCTCCATGGTTGCGGAGGGTCTTATTCGCCTTTTACTGTTTTATACAGGCTGTGCCAGGCTCCAGAAGATCCTGTGGGCTAAGAAATCTGTAGGAAGACAAGCCTACCTTGACCTGAGCAGCTAGGCTGCCAATTCCAGTGATTCTGTCCACATCTGGAGATCTTCAGTTTAGATGAAAGGCAGTTTTTCCCAGTGGTCAGTGCATGGCAGTTGAAATGAAATGTGGATGGACGTTGTTCTGTGCCCATTTGTCTTCTGTCTTTGGAGGAAATAGAGTGCTGCTGCTAGGAGCCAACCTGCCTCTTTTTGTTATAAAAAGTTGTTTAATAATTAAATATTTAAATGCCATATTCCCCAGATCTCTGAGCAGTTGAGGGCTGTATATCAGGTACAGCTACAGTATAGAACCTGCCTGGAGAGCTGGGCCCAAGCTAGACTGTACTGGCTCTCAACTTAACAGGTAAAGCAGGGTTGGATTAAATATAAAGTATTTTTGTAAAAGACTTAAAAATACATAAAATTTAGCTGGGCAGTGGTGATGCATGCCTTTAATTCCAGCACTCGGGAGGCAGAGATAGGAGGATCTCTGTGAGTTCGAGGCCAGCCTGGT